TGAGCTATTGGACTTCTATCCAGGAACTCATTGCCTATGCCAATATCTTCAGTCTCTCCTATATTTTTCTTCTAGTAGTTTCAAGGTTTGGGGTCTTGTGTTAAAGTCTTTGACAATTTTGAGTTGATATTTGTACAGAGTGAGAGATAGTGGTCTAGTTTCAGTCTTATACATATGAATATTTTGTTTTCTCAGCACCATTTGTTCAAGAGGCTGTCCTTTCTCCACGGTGTTTTTGGCACCTCAGTTTAGTATCAGTTGCCTGAATATATGTGGATTTACTTCTGTATTCTTTGTTCCATTGGTATATGTGTCTATTTTTACGTCCAATACCATGCTATTTTTTGTTACTACAGCCCTGTAGTTTGTTTTAAAATCAGGTATTGTGATGCCTCCAGCATTGTTCTTTTTGATAAGGATTTCTTTAGCTATTTGGGGTCTGTTGTGCTTTGATATTAATATTAGGGTTTTTTCCTAGTTATATGAAGAATTTTATTCGTATTTTGATGGGGATTGCATTGAATATGTAGATTTATTTGGCTAGTGTGGACATTTTAACAATATTAATTGTCCTAATCCATGAACAAGAGCAGTCTTCCTACCTTCTTGTGTCTTCAGTTTTTTCAGTGTTTTGTGATTTTTTAATTGTAGAAGTCCTTCACATCCTTAGGTTTATTCCTAGATATATTTTTGTGGTTATTTTGAATTGGATTATATTCCTAACTTATTTCTCAGAGAGTTCATTATTGGTGTCTAAAAAAGCTATTGGTTTGTATCCCTTCTACTTTACTGAATTTTCAAAAATCTAAAAGTCTTTGGTGGAGCCTTTAGGATTTTCTGTGTATAGAATCATATCATCATGAAACAGGGATAATTTAACTTTCTCCTTTCCTATTTGTATGTTTTTTATTTCCTTCTTGTGCCTAATTGATTAGTAGGTACATGTTCCTGTCCCTTTCACATTTTTCTTCTGGTTGTTTTGAATATATGATATTCATTTCTTCTTCTCTTACTCATCTTAAAAGTTTTATGGTTTACTATATTGATGTTGATTCTTTTCTACTTCTTATTTGTATGTCTACACTTATGGTAAGATTTATTGTTTCATGTGTTCTTGTAATTGTTTTTATCTTTCTTTCTTTTCTGAGTGTAAGATTCCCTTATGCATTATTATGGTTTAGATCTGAGGTGTCCCTAAAAGCTCCTGTATTGATGGAATATTCAGAGGTGAAATGATTACATTATGAGAGCTATAACCTAATAAGTGCAACCTAGTTAGAATGAATTAACTGGGTGTTAAGTATAGGCTGGTGGGGAGTGGCTGGAGGAGGTGGGTCACTGGGGTCATATCTTGAAGGATTCATCTTCCCTGTGGCCCCCTTCCTCTTCTTCTTTCTGCTTCTTGGCAGCAGTGAACTGAGTAGCTTTCCTGGGCCATGCCCTTCTGCCATGATGCTCCACCTCACCTCAGGCCCAGGCTAATGAAGTCAGCCAACTGTGGACTGAACCTCTGAAACTGAGCCAAAATAAACTTTTCCTCCTCTAAGTTGTTCTTATTGGATATTTTGGTCACCATGAAAAAAAAAACTGACTAATACAAATATCCTTTATAATGCTGGTCTATTGGTCATTGGTTCCCTTAGTTTATCTTGGGAGGTCCTTGTTTCTCTTTTGCTTCTGGATGATCATCTTGCTGGTAATAACAATCTTGTTTGTCAGTTATTTTCTTTCAGGGCTGGGAATACATCATTCCATCTTCTCCTGTCCCATTGAATTTTTCCTCAGAAATCTGCTGTTAGTCTAATGGATTGCCTTTCAATGTCTTAATGTGTCTCTTGTATGTTCTAATATTCTTTGTCCTGTCCTTTTGGCAGTTTAATATGTCATGGAGAAGTTCTTTTCTGGTCATATCTGTTTGTGGTTATAAATTTCTCCTGAATCTAGATGTCTGTGTCATTACCAAGATTTGGAAAATTTTCTGCTCTTCTTTTATTGAGTAGATTTTTCTATGCTTTCAGCCTATAGCTCTCCTTTAGGTATGCCACCTATGTAGATGTTTGATTTTTTAATGATATTCCAGAAATTTGCATGTTGTTTATTCATTCTTATTTTTTTTTAATTTCTGTCTTAATGTATTACTTTGTCAGATTTATCTTTAAGCTCTGATATTTCTCCATTCACGTTATTTAGTCTGTTGGTGAAGTTTTCAACTGAGTTTTTAGTCTGACTCTCTGGTCTTTTCATTTCCAAGGTTTCTGTTTTGTTCTTTTTCAAAATCTCTATCTTTTTACTAAATTTCTCACTTATATCCTGCCTGTCTTCCTTAATCCATTCAACTGTTTATCTGTACTCTTGTGGAATTCTTTTTTTAAAGTCATTTTTTAAATTATTTTTCTGGCATTTTATACACTTTGATATCTTTGAATCCTGTTACTGTAGAATTATAAACTTTAGGCTATGTCCTGCTAGCTTGTTACCTTTCATATTTCTTGTGTTTCTATGTTGAGATTTGTGTATCTTTTGGGATGGTTCTCTCTTCCACTTTTATGTCAGGGCCTTTTTAGTAAGCAGACCTTCTCTTAATGTATCTTGGGGGTCAGTTTTTTGTGTAGTGTTGAGTTTCATTCAAATTAGACTTCATAGTGTAATTTCCCTGTGGCTTCTTTGGGTATGATTAGTAGGTTTTGACACATGCATACTTCATTGAAGCCCAAGAAGCCTGCTTTGTGTACAGGTCTTGTAAGAGTGGAATTTCTCTTCTAATTTAGGCAGGCATAGTGTAGATAGCAGATTATGTGGTGCACATACTGTATGGTTACCCCTACATTGGGAGTAGAAGCCCCTATCAGATGGTGTGGGGTTTCCATGACCACAGTTGATGTTGACTCTACTTGAAAGCAATTCTGTTACTGGCTGTTCCAGTCATAGTGAAGGGCCTGAAACTCTTACCCTTTGTTTAGTCGCTAGTGCAGTTTCTAGTGTTTCTTTTTTTTTAAATTAAATTATTTATTTATTCTAATTTGTTATACATGATGGCAGAATGAAATTCATTTCATACTACACATAAGAGCACAATTTTTCAAGTCACTGATTGTACACAAAGTATTTTCACACTATTCGTGTCTTCGTACATGTAGTTAGGGTAATGATGTCTAACTCATCCCACCATCATTCCTACCTCCTCACCCTCTCCTTTCCCTTCTCTCCCCTTTGCCCTATCTAAAGTTCCTCTATTCCTCACAGTTCCCCATCTGTGTCACTCACATCCAGTCATGCCAATGATTTGTCATCTGACAAGGTATAGAAGTGACTGATGCTGAGGATCCTTATAGTTGTGGTGTTCACACATTTGTGTTATTACTGTGCTACCATGGGGCTGAATGTCCAGGAGCTAGACCCTCTAGCCATGCCCATTTAAGAACAGGCATCAACTGGGACCTTTTGTCCTCCCTATTCTTTAAGTCGAAATATCCACCAAGCCTCAAGCAGGACTAGGTCATGGCTATAACTAGGTGTAATTCCTCTTAGCTGGGCTGAGAGCATGGCTTAATGGCCTAGTACAACATGCACACAGTCTGAGACTCTGTCCCCATCACAGAAGGAAAAAACAAAGAAATGGATAAAAAATAAGATTAAAACAAAGCAATACCAGCAACAACAACAGAAAAAAAGGGGAACATATAGAATAAAATAAAAAGGGAAAATTAGAAAGAATTTAAGAGGAGAAAAGGAGGAAAAAGATATGAATAAAAAGCTAGACTTTTTCTCTCTACTGAGGTCCTTGACTGGGGTGTGGATTATCACAACCCATGCTGATCAAAGCTTCTCTTTGGTCTTCTCAGGCTTTGCACCCTGTGGACAAAATTAAGGCTATGGGTTATTTGCCCTGATTCTTTCCATCGTGGTGCTCACCAGATGACTAGCAGGAGTGATTTGTGGCTGGAGCTACTTGGAACTCCTCTCAGTTTATTTTCACCCTGCAATAAACTAGTACAGAATGGAGAGCTTGCCCAGCAAAGATGGTCTCCATAGCTTTCAGGGTTGCATGCTCCAAGGGCAAGGTTAAGGCTGGTGTTGAGGCATGTCAACAAGATAGCACACAATTCAGAGGTCACTACGCAAAGATTCTCTATGGAGCTTTATGGACTGCCAACTCTGAGGGTGGTGAAACCTTTGGCACTCCCCAGATACCACCCGCCCCCGAAATGAGGAGTGACAATGAAACCACAGAAAGCTGTTCTGTGAGGGGGTGAGGGTGGGGATTCTGTGCAGTCTGTTGTACATGATCCTGGTGTCCCACCCGACCTGGCTCCCATGCAAAATCACATATGATTCTTTGCTCCCCTGAACTCTGTTAGTTGGTTCCCTCTACTCTTCTCTGTGTCACAGTCTGATTTCCCACTGCAAGAATTATCAGCAGGTTTGTGTCAGTGTCTCTTCCTCAAGCCAATCTGATCCATGAAGCAGCCACCCACTGAACTATTGCAGAGAATTGCCATGAGGTTCAGGGGTCCTGAAGACAGGAATGTGCAAGGACATCTGATCCCTAGAGTAGACAGCTCAGACCATAGGACCTTTCGCTAGTTGGCACCTGGTTATGGTTCCAGGACAATACACTGGGAAGTGCAGAGGACTTCTCTGGAGCCAGCTAACTATGCAGTTCCCAGGTCTTTTATCTGTTTAAACTGTGTCTGAAAGGTGCCAAATTCTACACTGGTAGAGCTTTCTGTCTCTTTCCCCTGCTGTGCTTCTGTGTAATTAGTGCTATTTAGTTACCCAGAATCTCTGGGTTTCTCCGGATCTTTTCTGTTGAATTCCAACATTCTCCCATATCTACCCGCTTCATAGAGCAGCTTCTCACCTGTTGTTTTGGTTCTGTCTTGTAGAGAAGCAGATAAGTTTGGGTACCTCTAATCTGCCATCTGGAATCCCCCTTCATTGTAACTATAAAGAAATTTCAAAATTGTTTTCTGGAAGCATAAAGAATAAGGGTAGAAACAATAGAGGCCGCGCGCGCGGAGCTAGCGCTCGCAGGCTCCCCGCCCCTCCCACAACGCTCGACCCCGGGATACCCCCGGCTCTCCTGCCGCCATGGCCGACAAGGAAGCAGCCTTTGACGATGCAGTGGAAGAACGTGTGATCAACGAGGAGTACAAAATATGGAAAAAGAACACCCCTTTTCTTTATGATTTGGTGATGACCCATGCTCTGGAGTGGCCCAGCCTAACAGCACAGTGGCTTCCAGATGTAACCAGACCAGAAGGAAAAGATTTCAGCATTCATCGACTTGTCCTGGGGACACACACATCCGATGAGCAAAACCACCTTGTGATAGCCAGTGTACAGCTCCCCAATGATGATGCTCAATTTGATGCATCACACTACGACAGTGAGAAAGGAGAATTTGGAGGTTTTGGCTCAGTTAGTGGGAAAATTGAAATAGAAATCAAGATCAACCATGAAGGAGAAGTAAATAGGGCTCGTTATATGCCCCAGAACCCTTGCATCATTGCAACAAAGACTCCATCCAGTGATGTTCTTGTTTTTGACTATACAAAACATCCTTCTAAACCAGACCCTTCTGGAGAGTGCAACCCAGACTTGCGTCTCCGTGGACATCAGAAGGAAGGGTATGGGCTTTCTTGGAACCCAAATCTCAGTGGGCACTTACTTAGTGCTTCAGATGACCATACCATCTGCCTATGGGATATCAGTGCCGTCCCAAAGGAAGGGAAAGTGGTCGATGCGAAGACCATCTTTACAGGGCATACAGCAGTAGTAGAAGATGTTTCCTGGCATCTGCTCCATGAGTCCCTGTTTGGGTCAGTTGCTGACGATCAGAAACTTATGATTTGGGATACTCGTTCAAACAATACTTCCAAACCAAGCCACTCAGTAGATGCTCACACTGCTGAAGTGAACTGCCTCTCTTTCAATCCTTATAGTGAGTTCATACTTGCCACAGGATCAGCTGATAAGACTGTTGCCTTGTGGGATCTGAGAAATCTGAAACTTAAGTTGCATTCCTTTGAATCACATAAGGATGAAATATTTCAGGTTCAATGGTCACCTCACAATGAGACTATTCTGGCTTCTAGTGGTACTGATCGTAGACTGAATGTCTGGGATTTAAGTAAAATTGGAGAAGAACAATCCCCAGAAGATGCAGAAGATGGCCCACCAGAATTATTGTTTATTCATGGTGGTCACACTGCCAAGATATCTGATTTCTCCTGGAATCCCAATGAACCTTGGGTGATTTGTTCTGTATCAGAAGACAATATCATGCAAGTGTGGCAAATGGCAGAGAACATCTATAATGATGAAGATCCTGAAGGAAGTGTGGATCCTGAAGGACAAGGATCTTAGATGTGTCTGCACTTGTGATTTTAGACTCCCCTTTTTTCCCTCTCAACCCTGAGATTGATTTAACACTGGTTTTGAGAGAGAGACTTTGTTCAGCTATCCCTCTATATAGGTACCACCAACAATTCCTATTAGCCCAAACAGTGGGTGTTTTCTAAATATTAACTGGGATACTTTATTCAGCAAAGCCAGACTTATTTAAATTTTGTTCAGGAATTTTCTAGTAACAAACCCGGGTCTAAAGTAGCTACAGAAAGGGGAATATTATGTGTGGTTATTTTTCTTCTTAAGCTATATCCCCAAGTTTTTTGGACTCATTTAAGTAAAAGCTAGAGTGAGTAAGGAATAGAGCCAAGTGAGGTAGGTGTCTGAGCCATGAAGTATAAATACCGCAAGATGTCATTTTTATTCAGGAATTAGGGGAGATTCAAGTCATATAGATTCCTACTCTAAAATCTTCACACCTGACTTTCCAGGATGCACATTTTCCTATGTAGACCAGTCTCCTCTTGATTTCTACAGTTAAGTCAAAACTACATGTTCCTCCTTTCCCATATATTTTTGCTTGTTAGTGTATTTCTTGAGCTATTTTCGTATTATTCCTTACCTTTATGTGAAATGGTTTTTGTTTTTTTGTTCTTTTTTTTTTTTTTTTTAACTTGGGACCACCAAGTTGTAAAGATGTATGTTTTTACCTGACAGTTGTACCACGGGTATACTGTCAAGTTGAGAAGAGTGAATTGATAGCTTGTATGATTTTAAAATTAAATTAATCCTTGATAAGAGTTGCTTTTTTTTTTTTTTTTTTTTTTTTTAGGAGTTGGTCCTTGACCACTAGTTTGATACCATCTGCATTTTGGGTGACCTGTTTTATCAGCAGGCCTATTACTCCCATGACTAACTGTGTAAGTGCTTATAATGGAATAAATTGCTTTTCTACATAAAAAAAAGAATAAGGGTAACATCATTTTATTTCCTGTTGCTTTTGTGTCACTATAATGTTTGGAGGTTCCCATTCTAATAAATGTGCACTTCTACTTTACATGTGCCTTTGATTTCCTGGAGATTTCTTTTTTCTATTTTTCTCTTTTGCATAGGGAGATGTTTAATCAACTTTGGTTGAATGAGTATCAAGTAATGGTTTATCTGAACAAATAAGATGAAAACTTAATAACCAAAATAAGTAGTAGAACAAAATTTGAGGAGGTTAAGAGAAATAGAATAGGTAAATAAATAAAATAACATTATCTTTCAAAAACTGTGTAATTCATGATGAAAAATATGAAAATACAGAGTAGCTAAAAGGAGAAAATACAAGTTATCTATGAGACTTCATATCCTCTCCTTTAAAAAATATATTTTGTTTCGTTCGTTCCCCTTTCCAACCCAATATGCTCTTAAAGGTGAGCCGGTGGTTCTCAACTCTGAGTACACATGGAACCACTCAGGAATTTCTTTTTAATAGGTCCAGTATTTGGATACCCTTCAGAGAGTCCAATCTAAATAATATGAGGTGGAGTCTGGATATCAATCTTTTTTAAATGCCTTTATTTTATTTATTTATTTATTTTTTATGTGATGCTGAGGATTGAACCCATTGCCTCACACGTGCTGTGCAAGCACTCTACCCACTGAGCTACAATCCAAGCACCATCAAACTTTTTTAAATCAACTTTTTTGAGGTGTGATTTATATACAATAGAATGCATCTATTTTAAGTTTTGAATAATGTATATTCCCCTGTATAAACACCATTCTAATATACTTCCATCATCCCCAAATACTATTCCATCCCACATAGTCACTGATCTACCTTGTTATTACTGATTAATTATGCTTATTCTAGAACTTCATATAAACAGAATCAAGCAGTCTGACATCTTTCATTCAGAATAGTTTTCTGAGAGTTATATGTTTATATGTGTCAGTGGTTTATTCTTTTTTAATGCTGAGTATTTCATTGTGTGGAGGTATCACATTTTGTTAATCCATTAAACTGTTAATGGGCATCTGAGCTGTTTCCAGTTACTGTTATAAATAAAACTTCTATGAACATTCATGTAAAAGTCCTTGTGTTTTCATTTCTCTTGAGTAAATGTCTAGAACTAGAATGGCAGGGTCATATGGTAAGTTTCTATTTATAAGAAACTTCCAAACTCTTTTTCAAAGTAATTGTACTATTTTACATTTCCACTGATGATATGAGTGCTCAGTTGCTCTGTAAGTTTGCCACAGTGCCAGGTATTATCAGTCTTAAATTTTTACCTTCCTGAGGAGCATCATCAGTTTTTAAAAGCTCCCCACAACAGGTACACTTTTCTGCATATAATATACCAATAAAAAATGAAGGGATGCTCCCAAATCACTCTGATGTGCAGCCAAAGTGGAAAAACATCAATCTAAAATAGAAAAATTTTGTCATTATTGAAATAATGACAGATTATTTATGCATCAGGTTTTTTTTCCCACTCATCCATTCATTACTCAGAAAGAGCTACAACTTCTCTTTACAAAGCATTGGGAATATAGAGATAATACCCCCTACCTCAAGAACTAACAAAATATTTTTTTTTTCCTCTTAAGGAAACCAAGTCTCAGGGCTGGGGTTGTGGCTCAGCAGTGGAGTGCTCGCCTAGCACATGCAAAGCCCTTGGGTTCGATCCTCAGCACCACATAAAAATAAATAAAAATAAAGGTTTTGTGTCCAACTAAAACTGAAGAAGAAATATTTAAAACAAAGAAAGAAAACCAAGTCTCACCTGTATGACCACAATCATTTCAGAGAGTTTAGTTTTTAACTGGTATTTCTTGGGATTTTTGTAGCTCTTGCCTAGAGGGCACAGAAGGTAACAAAATCATTCACTGGTGTTGGAGGTGTTGCTTTATTGGCTTTTTGCTTTTCCTTTCTTGCTTTCCACCTCATGTACTTTCATACATTATTCAACTTTGGGAACAATGAGGTCATAGTGAATCCTAACAAAAATAAAATGGACATTTTTCGCTACTGGTATTTGCTCACAGGCCATGATTGGTTTTCCCTTATTTATTTTCAACCATTGCAGTTTCTGTTTTTGTTTTCCAAACTCAAATTTCTCCAAAGTCAAATTCTTACAGATTTAAATTTTGTGAAAAAAGAACATTTTGATCCTTCTGTCCATTTTTAATCAATAGGAATATTGGCCATGTGTAGTTTCGTTTATTGTCAGTCTTATTTTAGGTGAATTCTACTGGTAATGACAACTAAAATTTAGACAAAAAAATGGTTATATTTACCTTTCAGATAATCAGTTAGGAAATTTAATGAGCAGAGACATAGTTGCACAGAAAGATAAGAAAAGCTACATTCGTCTTGTATGGAGAGCTAAATTCTTAGTTTCTGGATAGAGTCAAAAGGACCAAGCAGAAACATCCCGAGCCCAGAGGGCATCTCACATGGTAGGATTAAAGTATCCTGCTGCAGCCCCTGCTACTCTGTCCTAAGTTGTCAGCCTCTATTCTCCATTCCCCACTAAATCTCTGGCCTCTTCTATTTGAAGCTCTGCCAACTATGAGCTCTCTCAGTTGCTGGCAAGCCAGTGGCTTCCATGAGGATAGAAATTCCTGATCTCAGTTGAGCTGATACAAGTGGAATTCTTTCAAATGAACTAACTTTACTTGAGCCAACTAAACAAAACCAAACCACACAAAGAAAATACAAAAGCAGATAAATAGATGAGGTCCGCCAGGCACAATGCCACACACTTATTTCATTGCAGCAACTTGGGAGGTTGGGACAGAAGAACGGCAATTTTGAGATCAGTCTCAGCAAGTGTGAGGCCAGGTTGAGCAATTTAGCAAGTCCCTGTCTCAAAATAAAGACTAAAAAGGACTGGGGATGTAGCTCAGTGGTAGAGTACCCCTGGGTTTAATCCCCAGTACCACACTCACAAAAAGAAATAGATGAAGTTGAAGAGTGTGTTTCCATGCTGTGGACATTTTAATCATGTATATCAAAAACCTTTACAGAGCTCACACTTGATGGAACCAAACCACTTCTAGGAAGTTCTCCTAAGGTGATATACTGTCCAAAGATGTACAGCATAAAGCCTGTTCAGCCGAAATTGGCAAGAAGCGAAATGTGTACCAGAAGAGGAATACTTCAGGTCTTTTATTTTAACTCTATTTAATATTCAGCCTTAAAAGGGAGACTGGCAAATTTTGGAGTGAAAGAATAGATAGTAAATATCATGGATTTATGGGCCAAATGGCTTCTGTCACAAATAATCAACCCTGCCTTTGTAGGACAAAAGCAGCCACAGATAATATGTAAAGGAATGGATGTGGCTGTGTTCTAATAAAACTGTGTTTTCAAAAACAAAACCCAGGTTGATTTGGATTATGGGCTTCACTTGGCAGCCTGGTTTAAAGAAATAAATGAATTTATCTTTTTGACATGACAAGTTCATCATAAAATACTCTTGTGGGAAACTAAGCATATTTTAGTCCATCATGTATGCTATGATGGCACTTATGTTAGATGAAGAGTCATTTATGTACATATCAATAGAGAAGTGTCTAGAAGGGCATTCAGAAAATTATAATGAAGATGTTATCTCTAGATTGAAGTATTTGGGGTTTTTTCTTCTTTATGTTTTTGTACATTAGAAAAAAAAATTATGTTATAACATACTTTTTGACAAAGTACTTATAGGTTGTGCAGTGCCTTAATTCTAGGAGATGCCATTGACATGAACTCCAGTGTGAAGGGTAGCTCCTGGAGTTGAGGGATATGACAGCCCTCCCATCTCCCATTCTTTTTCAGCTCTAATTAGTCCACAAACACTTATTCAGCATGTACTGTGCCAGACCTTTTGCTAAGCACAGCAGAAGTATGAGCAAACAAAGGCACAAAAATGCCGGCCCTCAGAGAGAGCTTGCGTTCTAGTCAGGGAGAAAGGCAGTAAGCAGAATAAAGAGTGAAGTAAGTATATGCTAGTCTATTAGAAAGTGAGAGCAGAGCAGGTGATAAAGGAGATCCAGAAGGCTGCAGCAGACTGGGGTATTAGTTTTTAAATCAGGTGGATGGAACAGAACTTACTGGACTCAGAAAGTTTCAATCAGGCAAAGATTCAAATATCAGGAAGAAAACTATGTTGATGTTGGGGGAAAGGCATTCTAGACAGAGGGTACAGTCAGTGCACAGGACCTAAGGGAAAGAATGTGGTGGCTTTGAGGAGCAGCAAAGTAGTCAGCATGGCTGCCAGGGAGTGACGGAGGGAGAGCAGTAGATGAGGACAGATGGGTAACAGGCAACCAGATCACATAAGCACCTGAAGGTCACAGTGAGGACCTTGGCTTTTACTTTGAATGAGTTTGTAACCACTGGAGTGTTTTCGTTTTATTTTATTTTATTATTATTTTTTTTAGTTGTAGATGGACACAATACCTTTATTTTATTTGTTTATTTTTATGTGGCGTCGGGGATTGAACCCAGTGCCTCATGCATGCTAGGCAAGCGCTCTGCCACTGAGCCACAACCCCAGCCCCTACTGGAGTGTTTTTGAATAAAGCATTGACATGTTTTGGTTCACATATTTGAAGAACAACCTGGATGCTGAGTCAAGAGCAGACTGTCCAAGTACCAGGGAGAGGTAGCCCTTGACACGGTGTTTCATAATTTGCTTTT